GATCATGCATATATTTTTAGAATCGATTAATTTGTCACTTCATTTACTTCTTCTTGCATTTAAAGGTTGGAATGAATTGTATTTTGAACTCCTCTTGACATTGTACTAATAATTTTCTACATTAGTTTGGACCAAAAAGCACACATTTTTATCTTTCAACATTATCGGGAAAAATAATTCAAAATGACTCCACGCTATTAAATACCCAACTAAATTGTAGCACGTGCATCGCACGTACGAACACTAGTAAATAAATAAATAAATACGCTCATGAACAATAAAATACTATTACAATAATATTTTTTTTACTTTTTATATTTCTGAGTCAAAGTATATACAAATCCATGTTTGTTAATTATAGACATTTCACAAATTAACAATCAACATGTTGAAATAATTTGTTTTGTTAAAATTAAAATTGATTTGAGTCCTGTTTGCGCCCTTTTTTTATTTTTTGATGAAAATATATTTTGCAATAGTATTTTGTGTATAATATTATTTTATTGAAAAATGTATAGTTGATAATAAGTGATAGAAAAATGTATTTTAAAAACAATGGTTACCAAACAAAGTCTAAAAAGGGGTGTCTAGCATTATTTTGCTAATAATGAAGTGATATTGAAGTTAAATTTAAAAATTGAAAACTTAAAAGATTGAGGTTAGCCTGAAGATTACAATTTATTTGATGGGGGCCATAATCAAATTAAAATTGTAAGTATAAGGCTAACATTAGGAAAATGATTTCTTGTGCTGGGTGATTAAACACCATCTAATCCCACATCGGAAGTCTATAATACCAGATGAGGTGAGGGGTTGCATCTATTTAAAGAGCAGGGTATCTAATTTATTCATATAGGCTCTTAAAATTGTTATCGGTTAAGCGTTAATTAAATGAGTGGCCACTGAACTTTATTAATGCTTACTTGCTCACTGAAAATTAAATGGTTACTTAATGTTCATTGAAATATTCATTAATTTATCCATCTTTCACCATAGCCAATTCCATTTATACATGTGGATAAATATGTCTCTACATGGCAGATGAAATTAATTTATCCGTCCATCACCATAGCCAATTACATCTATACAGGTGAATAAATATGTTTCTACATGGCAGATGAAAAAAATGACGTGGTATACAAATTGAGTGAATCATAACCACTTCATCAAAAATTTGTATTTTATAAATAATAGAAAGAGAAATGCTATTCATCTCCAGTGAGGATGCATCCCCAGTCTATGTGGCGTTAATGTGGCATTAAATAATAAGTGAAATTAAATAAGTCATTTAATTTCACCTATCATTTAACCAATCATTTACATTCACATAGACTGGGGATGCATCCCCACTGAGGATGAATAGCATTTTTCTAATAGAAAACGTTACTTCCCCAAATCACCTATTCTCCCAAATCAAGCCATTCCTCCTAAGACTTAGAAGCCGAACCATGTGTCGCCATGACCATGACCCCATCTCTGTAGCCTCAACAATGATATGGCACACAAAATCCACTCAAAATTTTTTGCAATATTTTATGGATTTTATTAGGCCCTAATTTCAATTGCAAATAAAAAGGATTTGATATGGGAATTAGAAAGAGAATTATTGGGGGCTGTTGAATTCAGTACAGCTTCCGAGAAATGAGTTTAATTGAGAATGAGGGTTCTAAAGGAAGTAAATGGTGAGATTTTCAGGATTTGAGTGTCAATTTGGTGTAAATAATTTAAACTTTGCGTACTCAGTATGGCAGTACCCAGTAGCATTGTACAAGGAATCCAACTAAATGGTCGCTTGTTCCCTCTTCCTCACTCTCACCAGACACTGCCCCCACCCCACAAATCATATATGTAGATACTTCTGGGCTGTTAACACGTTATCTTTGTGTAGAAATGCATACGGGGATGAATATCTGATTCTTGTTTTCAACAAATTAAGTTGCCCATCAAATTCTAGAACCCTTCACCACAATCCATGAAGAAGACGCAGGTTACGACACAAGAGGGCAGAACATTGATTTGAATAGCAGAATTTTCAGATTAAACTCCCCAAGAGGAGTGCCGCCATTATTTTACAGAAATGGATTGGGAGAAGGCAATGAAACCACTATCTCTAACCTCGGAAACATCTCCGAAGACCTAAGAAAATCACACCGTTATCTGAATTGACTTAAAAAAACAAAATATTGGGATGATCCTAGTGAATATTGATTGTGCAGAGATTAACAATAATGTTAGAGAAATCATCATTTACAAAACAATTTATGATGACGTGGAGATATTAACGGATTCCATGTGCCACGTTATCTTTTCATCTGCCATGTGAAATTTTTTTGCCAATTGTACAAATGAAAGTGACAATAGTTATGAATGAGTAAATTGATGAATAATTCAATGAGCATTGGATAACCTTTTTATTTTCGATGAGCAAGTGGTAATCGAGGATAAATTTCAATGGCCGCTCATTTAATTAACTAACAGGTTAATTGTTCAATTGGCCGGTTCTACAATTTTTTGATCGGGTTTTTATTTTGGGTTAATAATAATAACATATAATCGATTTTCGGTTAATAATAATAACGTATAGAGCATGTTTGAGTCTCATTTTTTGCAAAAAAAATGTATTTTAAAATAGTGATTTGATGAAGAAAGTGTGGTTAAAAAATAAGAAATTTTTTTTGATTTACATATAATATTATTTTATTGAAAAATGTGTACTTGAAAATAAGAGAGAAAAAAATTTATTTTAAAAATAATGGAGATCAAACAAGCTTATAATCGACTCGGATGTGTACCATTGGGCCGGGTCAATTTTAATACCAAGGACTGGGCCAGTTTTAATAACCTTGGTGGTGTGATTAAAAAAAGTTGCATTTTTTTTTTATTGAAGCATCAATTCAACCTGTGCTTACAAGAATTTCAACATTTTTTAATAGAAATTTGATGTGTGTGTATCTTAGAGAGAGAGCGCGAGCGAGCAAGTATTTGAGCAAAAGGAATACAACAAAAGCAAAATACTTGGAGGTGCGGGGAATCGAACCCCGTGCCTCTCGCATGCGAAGCGAGCGCTCTACCATATGAGCTACACCCCCATTTGCTGTTAAATTATATAGTAAATGCAATCTTTATGTGTTTGGATCAATGCCAAGACAACCGACCCCAGACCACTCTACAACATTCCAATACAAAATTAACCCGCCACGATAAAACGACACCGTCCCCTGAACCCCCTCGAAAATTCTCCGCTGAAGAAAATCCATTCACAGCCATGGCAGCAACAGCTAACCCAAATTCCTCATCCTCTTCATCCATTTTCTCCCTCAAAAACTCTCGCCCTCCAGACGACACCGTTTTCTATTCCATCTTCCCCGACTCCTCCCTCACCGCCGCTGCCACTGCCCCAGAAGAACTTCAATCCCTCCACCTCCAAATCTTCGACCACCTTACCCCCTACACTGCCACATACATATGGCAACACCAACCCTTCACTCTTTCTCCATCCTTCAACCCTGTTCCCCACCTCTCTGGCCACCTCCGTTTTGGGGACAATCTCGAGGACGAGTGGTTTGTTGTCTTCCTCCTGTTCCAAATTTCTAGAAGTTTCCCCAATCTTTCAATTCGTGTCTGGGATTCAGATGGCGAATTTTTGCTTATCGAATGCGCTTTTTATCTTCCTAAGTGGATGAACCCCGACACCTCCCCTAATCGTGTATTTATTCGCCGAGGTCTTCTGCATATTCTATCTCCCACTCATTTCCCTACCACCCCAGATTTATTGGACTCCCTTAAATTCTTGATTAGTAATGATCACCATACGCAAGCTCCGGAAGGAATTCAATCGCATTTGAGTAAGAAAATTGGTGAATACCCTGAGCGTGCGTATAGGAATATGCATAGAGCAAGAGTGATGGTTCCGGTGTCTGTAGCATGGACTTTGAAGCACGAGCCGAGTTTTGTGTCTTTGGCTGTGGAGGGTTTTTACGACAGGGATATTGATAGTATGAAGGATGCTGCGAAAATGGAGAGGTTTTTGCCGAAAGGGAAAGAGGAGGAGATGGTGAAGGTAGTTGTCAGCATGTCGAGGGCAATGTATGCACAGTTGGCGCAGCAGAAGTTTCAGGCTCCAAGGGTTTATCCGATGCCAGCATCAAGGAGCGATGTTGGTCAGTATATGGAGGCGGAGCTTGGGATGAAGATTGTGTGTGGGTTTGAGATGATGTACCAATTGAGGAAGAGGCACGGAGAGGAAGGAAAGGGGAGTACGTGGGAGGCATTTAGAGAGAGCTTGGAGAAGAGTGGGTATTTTGAGGGGATGTTGCCAGGGTCAAAGGAGTACAGGAGGTTGATGGAGAAAGCTGAGGAGTATTATCGGAAGAGTTCATTACATTCTAGGGCAAGGTATACAGTGTTGTATTATATGCATTCCTTCCAATTGCGATAGTTTGATATCTGATCTCACGGGCTACATGTGGTTTAGTATTAATTTTAAGCTAATTACAATTTGCCTGTAAGGGATACAACCAGCTACAATTGAATTTGGGGAAGTGAATGTCCGTAAATCTATTAAACTCACATATAATATCAGGATTGATTGTTGTTTGGAAGATTCAATGACTCTTCTCAGTTTTTTCGGGAGTACGATAATGTTGCCTTCTTGCTTTCTGTTTATGGTTACCATCTAATGAGCAAGCTATGGCTTTTACATCTGGAAAACATAGAGATTAGTTCGTTATTTAAGAATGCTACTTTCTTCATGCCCCTTCATGCTTATTTATTGGTAGTGCCTTTTTCCTTTTCCTTGAGTTGTACCCAAGAATAATCTTTGACCATTGTAACATGCTGCTGCTGATGCAGTGAAATGCTGAGCTCTCCTGTGAGACGTATAGATGAGATTCTTGCTCTTCCTCATTCAGCTGATGATTTCAAGGGTCAGAAGCTTCCTCCATCAGATGATGATTCTTGGCTTTATGGTGGGGAAGATGAGCTAAATGCTGCTCTTCAGGAGAGACAAAAGGAGATGGAACTTTATGATTTGAAGCATAAGAAGAAACAGAAGTCAAAAGAGCAGCAGGATGGGGATTCAGCTTCTACCAAAGATTTGGAGGAGTATGATCTTGGGGATATAGCAAAATCTATGCAAGCGTTTGTTAAGAAAGTTTCGAGTTATAAAGGAGCTGAGGTTCCGGAAAACCGGTTAGTGTACCCTTAATCCTCTCAAGTTTCTTTTAGAGTCATGGAAGGTTTCATTTTTGAGCTCGCAAACTAGATGAAAATCAGAACCCCTTTTTTCTTGACCCTGAGAAATATTAATAGAGTAATGAAACCAATGATCTTAGGATGTCGATATTACATTCATTCAATTGTTACCAATGAAGGATGTACATTTATATATTCCTATTTTAACTTATTTTATTTTGCATATTGAATAGTTCTGTCATTAATTTAATGTGTTAGTATGGGCGAAAACTCATGATGCTTTGAGGAGTTTTTACCCATTTTGACAACCTTTGTTCAACTTGTGTAAGCACGTAGAGAACAGACATTGCTGTGAATATAAATCTTTTACTTTTCTGGGTATGGGTGGTTATTGCCTGTCTCTACCAATATGCTGCATTGATTATGCCTTTTAAAAATATTACCTATTTTCATGCATCACTATAAGATATTAAGGAGTTTGACGAAAAATTATTTATCTTCCTCAGATTTTCTATCTGTTTGAGTGATCACTGATCACAACTAGAGGAAGATATGACTGTTATTCCTTTTTTAGTTTCTTAATTATTTTTAAGAAATAGGAATGGGCTGTTATTGAGTAAGAAGATAACCTGTTGATATCCCTTTCACAGCAAACTTATGGCAGTGTCTACTATATTTGTCTTATCGCTCTTCGTTAAAGCAAAAAGGGAAGGATTAATGGGCACTTATCGATCGAAGGAAATTAGTATGGTCTAAATAATTTTGATGCACTTGTGTTGGAGTGGCCAATGTTTCGTGGATGTTGCTGTTGATGCTTGTAATGCTCTCCCACTACCTCATTTTATGTGTTTAGGCAGCTCTTATTTTGCTCTCTGCTACTACAGGAATCTCTTTCCTTTCTCTTCCTTTGGTCTATGCTTTTTCTTTTTCTATTTTATCACTATGCATCTATGCCTTTTCTCATTTCTAGCTGCCTATGTATCCACTGCAATCCTTGTTTGAATGTCACCCTTATAAAGCTATGCCATCCTGAGAGAACATTGTGGAGTGTTGGACCCGTCTATTTTGGCAGTTCATGTCTCTTGCCTTGTGTGATAATTGTGGACACTCTAATAGCTGAAGTGGTATACTAAATATGAGGTGTTATATGTTAATAAATTTGAACTGTTCAGGCTCTCCCTATCTTTGATGTGAATTCTGTTTCGAGTTGTGTTCAATGAATACAATTTGTCTTGCATGCACATTAATATTATTTGCTTCTTTTTGATAGAAACATTAAAGATGTGAATTTTGATGTGGATCAATTTGTGAAAGATATGGAATCTGTAATGAGACAACGTGGTTCAGGAGATACTGGTAGCGATCCTGATTTTGAAGAAGAGCCATTATCAGACATGGATTTTGGTAATTTTTGGATTACTGCTTATATATTTAGCCAAATGATATTTGATATAGATACAAATTATTGTGTTAATTTAGTGACTGTCTTTGCAATTACTTCTTGCTGGCTCTATAAGTTGACAATAAACTTTCCCATGCCTTTTGCTTTTATTTGTTAAAAAGTACCATACTGTTATCAATATATTACTGTAATTGTTTCTTCCGTCCTGACCACTTTCTATATAATCCATGTTTCTATCCATGCTAAACTTTGGTAAATTTTAATATTTCTACTTTCTTTGACAAGCATGCTTTATGTTTCTAACTTCCCATTGCTGATAAATTTCTGCCTTCGCCTCAAATTGTAAGGCTTCTCGATCACGTGTATGATTTTCAAGAGAGAATTATCAAATTCTGTGTCTATTTTTTGGGGATGTATTTTTTACCTTCACGATATCACACTGAAAGCCCAATTAGAATCTTGCAGTCAAATCTAAAATGTGCAAGATGGCGATTGTGGAGAAGCGAAGGTGGCTATAATCCTTTAGCTCTTGATTTTCGGTATTTTTATGTCTATAGGTCACTAAAATCGTCCGAGAAGCTAATTCTTGATGCTACCATAGGTTCACTATAATGTAACTGGGTGCAATTTAAATGCTGAAAATTATCTATCAGTGTTTTTAGTACTGCTAAATACCGTGATCTGGTGCATTACACAAAAATGCAGACGAGTCTGATGATGAGAGTGAGATTTCCGAGGATAATGAAGAAAAAGGAGATACTTTCATGCAATCCTATTCAGATGCTTTGCATGAGGAACTGAAGGCCACCACACTCAATAAGACTTTTGTCCGTGCAAATGAACAGTCCGTGCAGAAGGACGAGGTTGGTGTCTTTAAATTCATTGTATATGAGCCAAAAGTTGAATTGATGCATTAATTTTTACATAGATTTAGATTTTCTTTAACCAACTAGCTTCACTTTACCGAGCTCTTGCAAATATACACAAGCTGAATTTTACAAGATGCAAGATAGCCGAAACATGTTTTATGTAGGCATAAGCTTATAAAGTTTACTTATAAGTAAATAAGTTAGTTTTAAAATAAATAAATTGGTCAAAGTTGGAAATAAGTTCGCTTATTTTGACAAAAATATGAGAGATACTTAAAAATGTATCCTTTTCTTGTTTTAAAGTAAGAAGAGAGTAAATTGTCCCAACAAGTTTCAAAATAAAAAAATTACTTGAAAGTTAAAATGTAACTTTTACCTTTTTATTTTTTCTCTGTGTGTTTAATTGGCTGTATTTTTCATGGAAAATGTCATTTTTCCATTAAGTTCCTAATTTTGAGGTGTTTGATTGGTATTTTTTTCTATGGAAAATATTTTTCAAAAGTTGGTCATGTGATCATATTTTTTACAAAAAAGGGGAAAATATTTTCTTTATGAGGGTAGGTTTTTTATTTTCTAGACAATTCACATTTCTCAAAAACTCAATTTTACTCTCTATTCTAACAAGTTCTCACTTCTTAAGATTGAAAAGTACAATATTTTCTAGGTTAAAAATTAAGTCAAATCAAATATATTTAATTGACAATTCCATGCCTAGAACTTAGTGTGCGCGTGTGATTTTAAGCAGGGTGGATCCAGGAATTTTTCGCACATGGGCTAAAATTTAAAAGTCAATATTCCTACATCCAAGGGCAAGGAGAAGCAAATCCACTATAACAGAGAATAATCATAAAGAATACAAAGAACACGAGAAATCTCCCATATAATAGAACCCAAAAACATCTAAACAACTTCCCTTGAGATGAATTCTGCATAAATTTTGAACAATCAAACGACTATAAAAAGATATGCGGATAAATTACTTGTAAAAAGTGAAATGAGATAGTCGTTTGCACCCCACCAGAGTTTTTGAAGGAAATCAATAATAGTTTTCAACTTCTAATCAGATTCCTCAAATCCACAATTATTCACCTCCAGATTTCAGATGTTTCTCTAACTCAGTAGTAAACTTCACAATTTCAAAATATGACATAAATGGGGAACTCAGATTCATCTATGTAATCAAACACTTCAATCCAACTCAATCTTTAATTTTTTATTTTTCTTTTTAATTACTGAAATCCACTTGGATGGAACTCCAAATTATCAGGATCGTCTTCATCACTCAAAACAAATAAAATAACCAACAAGATTCTAAATTCTTTCCTTTCCAGTACTTTATATGAAAATCCAATCCCCATTTCATGCACCCTCTTCCCAACAAATCCAATGATTAAACTGTGTAATGTCCAGAAATACACGACTACATGACAAAGAATACGTAATTACTGACCTCAAAACTACAATTTCCTCAGCAATGTTAGAAAGAGAAAAAGGGAATCGACCAAAGAGTAGAGGAAAGTGAGGAATTAGGTTTGGGTTTGAATTCAATCTTATTACATTTTGTTTGGGCCAAAAACCGGAATGGACTCTTCAATTTTTCTTTTATGGACATGGGCTGGCCATATTAGTTAGTGTGCTAAACCAAAAAAAAAAAAGGAAGGGGGGCAGGGGTGAGTACTGGATCTGGGCTTGGACGAGCACGGGCTGTAGTCCGGGCCGGCCAGTGCCTAGATCCGCCCATGATTGTAAGCACGAAATTTGTATGGAAAGAAAGAACTTATTTGCATGGAAAGTATTAATTAAATGTGTTTTTAAACTATAGAAAGCGTTATACTTAGCCATCTTTTATTAGTGAGTAGATGAGACAGAAAGAGAGTGAATTGTCTGAAAATAAAAACCTAGCATCCTCAAAGAAATTTTTTTCCTTGTTTTCGAGGAAAATATGGTCACATGACCAAATTTTGGAAAATAATTTTCATGTAAAAAATGTCAATCAAACACCCCAAAAGTAAGAACTCGGGCATGAAAAATGACATTTTTCATGAAAAATAAAGTCAATCAAATACATTCTTATTTTCTTTTTATGCAAGTTGCATGCTTGCAATCAAACACACCATTAGTGAAACACGCTCATTCGTGATGTGCATTCCAATATTATTTTTTCATAAATTCCTCAGTTTGATTTGGATGAAATTTTTGTCCTTCGAAGTCTATTTTTTCCCCAACTATATGGAGTGTGATTAATCTGAAAAATTGCAGGGAACCTCTAATGCCAAGGAGGACATGGCAGAGTTCACTCCGGTGGATGTAGATATAAACCTTGTGCAAAATTTGCTCAATTCTTTTTCTACTCAACAAGGACTTCCTGGCCCTGCTTCCAATTTACTAGGACTAATGGGTTTAAAGCTTCCTGATGATTCTGGCAAAGGCAAATAATTTCTGTGCCTTCTGTTTGTCCACTTAAGTATTTCCGTTAATCTCAGAAGTTTAGGTACGGCGAAGCTCTTCAGATTGCATATATATTACATACATGCAGGATCTTGATTGTGCATACTGAGTGAGATACATATCCTAGTCGGGGTGTAAAAACTTGTAATGTATTTGTTCGTTTGAATTATGCTCACAATAATTATGTTTTGGGTACAAAGTGATGGATGAAAGAATTTTTTTTTTTTCATCACTTTCGTAGTTGAAATGATGCTGAGGAATCTCCCTTGCCATAATTTCATTGCCGTGTCAAGTTCAGTAGAGTGATAGCAGAGTCTTTTAAATGTAGTCGTTTTCTAGCTTGAGAAATGTCTTGGCAAGTTTTAGCAATGCCCTTGTGGCAAGTTTTAGAGTTCGTTTGGCAAGACTTTTGATTTTGCTATTTGAAGTAGTTCTCGGACCATCTTTCCTTAAATGCTCTTATAATAAGAAGTATTTCTAGAAAATTATACAAGTACATTCAAAACGGTTTCTTAGCTTTAGAAGCAATTTTTGATTTTTTTTTATAGATCTTGTAAAACGGGTTCCTAATTAAATTAAAAATAGATAGAATGATTGGTGAATAGGCGATAGTATTGTGGGTTTTATGAAATTTGAATAAAAAGCAATTTGACGATTTGTAAACAGATTTTAAACAATGCGCAAACAAAGGCTTAATAGAATTGAGCACTACACAGGATTGGAGACCAGGCATGTCCTTAATCGTTGACGTTAACTTTGAAATAATTTTGTCGTTTTCCTTTTCCTATTTGTCGTTTTGGAATGTGATTGTAGTTGATTGCAGATGGGATGATGAGGGTTTTTGTCTGTGTTTTCCTTCTCATTTTCTGTTTTTGGAAATGGGGGCTTTCAATATTGGACCTATCATTCCGGGGAGAGGGCTGCGCCAAGGTTGTCCATTATCGCCGTACCTTTTCATTCTTTGTTCGGAAGGACTATCGTCAATGATACGTTCCAAAGAGGACGCAGGTGCTATCCATGGCTGCAAAATTGCACGGAATGCCCCCCCCCCCCTCTCACTCACCTTTTCTTCGCGGATGATAGCTTGTTATTTTTTCGAGCTAATACGAGGGAATGTGAGGAGATGAAGGAGCTACTACATAAATATGAAANGAATGCCCCCCCTCTCACTCACCTCTTCTTCGCGGATGATAGCTTGTTATTTTCTCGAGCTAATACGAGGGAATGTGAGGAGTTCAAGGAGCTACTACATAAATATGAAATAGAATCTGGCCAGGCCATCAATTATCATAAATCCACGCTATACTTCAGTAGAAATGTTGATCAGGAGAGGCAGGCCACTATTCGATCGACCTTGGGTATCCAGGCTTTCCAGGGACATGAAAAATATCTTGGTTTGCCATCTATTATTGGGAAGAAGAAGAGAGAGATTTTTGGTTTCATCAAAGATCGGGTTTGGCAACGAATGCAAGGATGGAAAGAGAAGTGGTTATCTAGAGCGGGGAAGGAAATTCTCATCAAGACCATTGCACAAGCTATCCCAAATTTTGTCATGAGCATGTTCTTGCTACCAAAACAGCTTTGTGAAGAACTCGAGAGAGTTATGAATAAATTCTGGTGGCAATCAAATCAAGGGAGGAGTAGAGGTATTAATTGGATTGCATGGGATAAACTTTGCCTCCCAAAATCTAAGGGTGGCATGGGATTCAAGAAACTACATGAAACAAATCTAGCTCTTCTCAGTAAACTTGGTTGGAAACTAATAACCCAGCCGACATCTTTGGTAACCCGAATTTATAAGGCACGCTACTTTCCTTCGACCTCATTCCTGGAAGCTAAAATTGGTTATCGACCGAGCTACATATGGCGAAGTATACTTGCTGCCCAATCTCTCCTCAAAGATGGAGTCAGAATTCGTGTGGGAGATGGTTCCTAGATTAGAATTTGGCAAGACCCCTGGCTCCCTAATCCCAATCAAGGATTTGTTACCTCAGAACCATTTCCAGGAAATGAAAATGCAACTGTGAATCAACTTATCATTGCGGAAGAGAACAGGTGGGACTACAATCTTCTTGCTGATCTTTTCAACGAAGAAGATCGTCGTCGGATCATGAACATTCCTCTAACAGCCCACGGAAGAAAAGATCGCATATTTTGGATCCCCGAAAAGAAGGGCATTTACTCGGTTAAAAGTGGATACAAACAATTAA